TACCAGGTGGTTCGAACCATCCACCTCTGAGTTACGGAACCAAACCGTTTGTGACACTCAGGCCCCGTCAGTGATGCGGCCCCGCTTTCTGGGCCCCTCACGCTGTCTCCCTGGGTCTTTCCTTCTTCTGCTCCCCAGCTCTCTCCCCAGGGTTTGAGCCCCAAAGTTTTTTGCTCTCCTGTTCTTTCCTCGTGACAAAGACCGGCTTTCTCCTCCCCTACAAAATTAGTCTCGGGAACTCTCAGGGGGCAGTGCTAACCTGTCCTATAGGGTTGGTGCTAGCCGGCATTGACTCGATGGCAATGAGTTTGGTCTTGGTATTTCCTCATTCTGACCTCCCTCTGTTATCACTGTCTCCCCTGTGTTTAACCAACACTTTTGTCCTTTGCCCTTGACCTCTGCACCTCTCTCTATGACTGGGTCTGTTTCTGCCCTGTGGATGTCTGGCCCTTGGCCTTTGGGTGAAGGCATCTTCAGCTGTAGTCAGAGGGGTGCTGGTGGCCGTCACTCGCTGGTGGGTGATGCAGACACCTTGGGGCTCTGAGAGACCCCGATGTGGCCAGAGCTGTGGCACTGAACCCCAGATCGGAGGAGTCCTCCTCTCTCTGCCGAGCAAGCTGGTGGGGATCTAGGGGGTAAGGTGCAGCGCTACCCCAGCCTCTCCTTCAGCCTTACCCTCCCGCCAGGCTCTGAAGAGCGCCCACCCTAGCTTCTCAAAGCTGATCCCCTCATTCAGGGCCATTCTCGAAGACCAGGAGCCCTGCTGTTACTGCAGGTCTGTGCTGGGCTGCTAGCTGTCAGACCAGCAGATCAAAACCATTCGCTGCTTCTCGGGAGAAAATGATGGGCCTTTCTATTCCGGTAAAGAGCTGCAGTCTCAGAAACCCACAGGGGCAGGCCTACCTTGTCCTATAGGGTCGCTATGAGTCAGAATCAGCTTGATGGCAGGGAGTTTTGCTCTTGTTTGTTTTCCTCCCTTCTGGGAAGATCAGGGCTCTGCTGCGAATGGGGAGAATGGAGAAGGAGAACAGGAGCAGGAGGGGCCCTTGTTCCCGTCTGGGGGATTTCAGCTAATCTGGCGGCCCCCACACTGAAGGGAGACCCGGCTCAGCCCTCATCGTGAATGGGAGCTGTTCACCCCACGCCCCAGGGGGGCTGAGACTCCTCTCCTGAGCCCTGGCCCTCACATGGTTTTGTAATGTTGGTTGGATTGATTTAGAACAGCTACAGCTTGTTTTCAGATGAGAAGACCAGAAGACCACAGGGCCGACCAGGGACACACTGGTCCCAGAGCGGGCTCTTTCGACTCTCAGACCTTGGAGATTTCCAGGATCCAATGTGGCCTCCCTCCTGTGGCTTGTGGGAAGACCCCAGGTTGAGGCTGTGTGGCCTCAGGCCTCAGGCTATCGGGGCACGGAGCTTCCATTTTCCACCTTCACCCCATGCCCTGGGAAGTCCTCGGCTTCCCTTACGTGAGTATGGGGGTGGGTGGAGGCAGGGGGCTGGCTGACTTGCCCACTCTTACTCTGCTTGAAGGCACAAGGACATCTGCCCACCAGCTGTGGGTCCCTGGCTCCCAGCCAGGAAGAAAGGAAGGCCAGAGACGTTCTGCTCCCATCGTCCTGCCTTGTCGCGGTCAACTGGGCAACCGAACCTGAAGACACCGTGCACGGTACACATACACATACATGCACACACACGCGCCCCCCCCTCCCACCACACAACTCGGGCAGGAACCCACTTGATCTTCACACACCTGGATGGGCAGAAAACTGGGTGTTTCTGAGGCCTGGAGGCTGGGCTTCTGCCTGCTGGCCTCAGTTTATTCTCTCGGCCCTGCTGCTTCAGAGCACAGCGAGTGAGTCCTCTCCCCTTCTTGCCCACCCCGTTCGTAACGTGTTGGTGCCCAGACAGAACCAGGGCCGTCGGTGAGCAACCTCCATCCACTACCAGCTGTGTCCTCGCGGGCAAAGCACCCCGCCTCTCAGCCTCTGTTTGTAACATGAGGGGCCAGGGACCTCACATAGCTGAGAACTCCTTTCCAGAACACAGGGCAGCGGAGTCCCTGCACACCCCTTTAGCGCCCCTAAGGGACCCGTCTAGCGCCTGAGTCTCCCCAAGAGACCTGGACACACCCTGCCAGGCGAAGTGCTCACCTTCCTCACTGCCCACTTCCTCAGGCCTCAGGAGGGATACTAGGGTCCAGGCAGGGTCCCCACCCCCCACCCCCAGGTGGCCCTGATCACTTACTTCTCATGACTGAGCCGTTGGCTTTGCTGGCCCAGGCTACTTGGCCTTCTCAGCTGGGGCTGGGTGGTCCAGGGATGGAGTGGCTCAGCCGGGCGTGACGGGGGAGGGCACAGACCCTCTCAGCACTGCGTCAGCCCAAGCTCAAGCGCTGCACCCTGCTCTCCCCTGGAGCTTCTGGGAGGGGGGCTTAAGCTCTGCACCGCACAGGTGGCCCAGGGACAGCCCCCTCTGGACTCCGCACCCCAGGGGTGCACCGGGTAGGATGACAGGCGCCCCACGTGGCCAATCTGGGCCTGGGGCAGAGTGGGGGGGGCAGGGGAGGGTGTGAGGGGCGGGGCAGCCAATCACAGGGGGTGTTGGAAAATTCCAAAACCACATGTGACAGCCACCCTCACGGTAAGAGCTAGTTCCACCCGCTAGGGTGGTTCTGGCCGGGGAAGCAGAGTGGAGCGAACACGAACCTGGGGCCAGGTTCCTGCTCCCCTGCCCCTGCACCCACCCTGAGGAGTCCTGAGCTGGACCCTCTTTGCTAGATGATGACAGGGATGTGTCCAGAGGTAAGTCTCCGCAAGTCCCCTCCCACCCCCACCCCCCGTGTTGGCACGTGCCACCTGAGAGCCAGTAGCCATGCCAGTGTGGCATGCTCCGGGAGGGTCTCAGCCACTCAGGTGCTCACTCACGCCCCCTCCCTATACTCACAGCCTGTGCCCCAGGCTAGGGGACCGTGGGAAGAATAGTCACCAGGTGAAAAGTACTCTGCAGGAGAGGCTGGTGCATCAGAAACCTCGGGGGTCAAACTGCTAAAATTGGCATGGGGATCATGGGGATTGATGGTGATGGTGGTGATGATGACGACAATAATAGTGCTGACTAGGTGCCAGGCATGTTTCCCAATATTTTACAGCCACTATCTAACCCTCACAAAGCAGCTTCTTGAGGTGAGTTCCCTGATCCCCAGATCAGCGATGAGGACAGTAAGACCCAGAGAGGTTGAGTAACTCGCCCAAGGTCACACAGCCAGTCCATGGTGGTGGCGCCAGGCAGTTTGGCCCCACATCCCCATCAGGGGACGGGAGGGCTTCTCTGATTCATGTCTCCTCTCAAGAGTGTCTCTGCTTGGGAAGTCTCTGGGTATGTGGGTCTCTCTGTAGAGACTGGGGGTCCTTTGCGGGGGTGGAGAATCATTTTAGAGGCCCTCTCAATCTCACACCTGCTCTGAGGGGTGTCTCACTCTTGAGGGTCCCTGAATATCAGGCCCACTCTGGGGCTGGGGGGCGGGGGTTGTTCTTCCTTTTGGGGCTATCTGATTCAGTGGCCATTTCCCAGAGCCTCTGGGTCTGAGCGAAGCCCCAGCCCCTCTTGGAGTCTCTGGATGTCAAACTGTGGAGAGCTCTCTGGCAGCTCCCGGCTGGTCCAGGCCCTTTCCCTGAGGCCAGGCTGAGGAAGGGAATAAGAGGGCGTGGTCTTTGCTGAGGTTTCTGTGAGGTTTCTATGGTGAGGGGCTAAGGGTAGGGATGGGGCTTAGCAGTTTCCAGTTCCAGCTGCTCCAACAGCCCCCTTTTCTCCCCCCCTTACCACCCACATATAGTCCCTGGCCCCCCCCTCCCCAAGCTCACCACGTCACTCCCTGACCTGCTTCCCTCTTGGGCCCTGCTCAGCATTTCCGTGGGGCCCTGTGGCTAAGGGCAGGCGAGGCACTGATCAGGAGTGTGCTGAGCCAAGCAACCCCCCCACCCAGGAGGATGTAGCCTCCTGAGAGTGGCGCCCCCCCTCGTCCCCCCTCGTCCCCCCTCCTGCCCTGTTCGCTGGCCTTAGGGCCAAGGGCGGTGCTGCGGCAGCCCTCTGAGCCTTCTCAGCACTGAGGCATGGGGGGGGCTGAGGCAGGGATGACAGCTAGCTCCCGGGGACAAGGGGAGGCCATCCAAGAGAGGGCCCTGAGGAAACAACGCAGGAGGCTACACCCACCCCCTGTGGTCCCCCCCAGGGGGCCTATAGATGGCCCTGGTGGGCTGTGAATCTTGGGGTTGAGGAGGTATGGGTGGCTGTCCTGGGGGAGCCGTCTCTCCCACAGACCAGGAGCGTCTTTGAGCTGATGTGCTGACACATTCCCTAGGGAAGCTGCCCACTCCATAGTGACCCTTGGGAAGTCCTTCCAGAGACTTGCCCCCTTCTCATGGCTGCAGTCTGTCTGGGAGCAGGGGCTCACAGAGCAGCCCTGCCCATTCTGCTTCCTAGCGGCTTTCCTGCTCCCTGGCCGACTGGCTGTGTACAGCCTGGCTCCTGGCTTGTTCGCACCTCCCACCTCTGGATGTGTTAACCACAGAGACATACACCAAACCAGGCTCTGCTACCGCAGCGCCTGGCGCAGGGTCCTGGTCTCCCACAGCCCGGCCACCTCAGCCCCCCTGAACTCTCCAGCCGCCACCTGCCCCTTCTCCTTTCTCCTTTCTCCAGGCTGCCCCCTTTCCTGGTCCCTACACTGGGCTCTCTCCCTCTCTCCCATTGCTCTTAGGCTTCTTTACGGCCTCCCATTGGCCCATTTCTCTCAATGCCTTCATCCCCTGCCCCACTTCCCACTGCACTCTGGGGTCCTGCCTCTGCCCCAGCCCCTGCCACCCCTGCCTGCACCCACCCTGCAGCCTTTACCTCCTTGAACCTGAACCTCCTAGAGCCCTTGCTGAATTCTCTGCCATCTCTCCACCCGCCAACACCAGTTCCCGTTCCCCTCCCCACTCCCCGCCCCCACTCACAGGTGTGGGTCTTCTTTGCAGCCAGCAGCTCTGTGAAGAGGAGGGGGAGACAGGGTCAGAAGTTGCAGGCCCTGTGGGGGGTTGGGCAGGGCCAGGGGGTACCCACCCCATTCACACCCATTCCTTCCCTCCCAGCTGCGGCTGCTCTCTGAGGCGCAGGGCCACCCTCTGCAGGACCGCTGTGCTCTTCCCTCCAGCCCTGCCCTCCACCGGCTTCCAGGGGCTCCAGGCCTCTGCGACTTCCCACCAGCTGTCCCTCTCCCTCCCACACTCCTTGATCTGTAGCCCTCAGGACTTTTCCCTGGGGAAGCCTTCTCTGCCTCTGCCCCTGCCTCTTCTCCCATACCCACAGCGCCTTGAATCTGAGGCCCTGGCCCTGGCCCAGTGAGTTCAGGAACAGCGACAAGCGGTGTCAGGAGGCACCGGGCGCCTGCTAGAAGGCGTGCTCTGTGAGGGCAGGGATGTGTCCATCTGCCTCTGAGCTAGAAGGTTCACGAGTGTCTGGTCCATTGAGTCACCGTGGATACGAATCTGGGCGCTCAGGGTAGGGGTGGGGCTTTCCAAAGGGCTGGAGGGCGGGAAGAGGGTGATAGGAGCTTTGGAGGAAGAGAAGGGGAGAGCTTCAAAACACAGGCCCCTCTCCCCCGCCCCCCTGTGCTGCCTCCCTTGGACACTGGGCCACCGGCCTGCAGAGGTGAGGACCCTGGCCCCGTAGCTGCTGCTGGTGCTGTGGTGTGGCTGGGGCCTCGGGGCGACCAGGCAGTGGGAGGCCCAGGAGGCGGTCATAGGATGGGCAGAGATCTATGGAGCTCTGGGAGGGTCAGGGAGGACCAGCGGGGTGACTACTACTGTCCAGGGAGCCTTAGCTGTCGCACGGTTGGGGTTGTTCATTTGCATAGTTCGAGTTTATAAAGAACCTACCCAAGGAGGCCCTGGGAAGAAGGCCTCCTTGCCTGACCTCCGTCCACATCCCTAATCACACAGCTGCTCCGCATGGAGCATGCGGCCTGACTGCTGGCCCCGGCGGGCTCTGCAGCCTGGCCTAGTGTTCCCTGTACCTTCTCTAGCCTCGGTGGACTCTGCTCTCCTGTCCTGTCCTGCTTTTTTCTCCTGTTGTCCAGTTCTCTGTCCCTTTGCCCAGGAGCTGCCTGTCCCCTATAGGGCGTTGGGTAGGGGACTAGTGGAGCCAGACCTGGGCTCTGCTGGGACCTGGGAAGGGCTGCCCAGGAGGGCGTGACTCCATCCGGCCCCTCCTGCCTCCCCTGATCCCGCCTGGCCCCACTCAGCTTCCTCCCTGACGTGGCATCTCCAGCCTGACACCTGAGAGCACTCCTGGCCTAGGGTGCTCCCTTCCTCCTGGAGTTATTCCTCCACCAGGTGGCCCTGCAGCTCGGCAGCTCGGGCACTCACTCACACAGCTGAGCAAGCATGGGGCAGTTGGATCCTGCCCCCAGAGGGGTCCCTGGGCCAGACCTTCCTGTGGGCCCCAGGACTGCCTGACTGTCCACCCCTGCCTCACCCTGCACCCATCCCTCTGCAGAAATGAAACCCTATAGCCCTGGGCTGGTGGGGAGAAAGGTGCCAGGCTAGTGGGGGCATGGGCAGCCCACAGGGCGTGGCTGCTTCCTCACTCTTGGCCTCCCTGCGGCGTCCCCC